AAAAAGAGCTCATTGCTTTTACGGCTTTTATTTTTGAAGCAAAATATATAAAATATATAAAATATGAAATATGTCAAGTTTTAAAAAAATTCGGAGCGTCTAAACGTCAGGCAGCCTGACGTTTAGTCCCAGGACTAAACTTCAGGCAGTCTAATTTTTTCTTATAAAATCGTCGGAACAACCGTAATTTCAATTAATACAACAAGGGAAATGCAATTAAGACTGAAATAATACTGTTCGACAAGTTTCAAACACAAGCACGGCATTTTGAGATTTTCGACTGCCTGACGTTTAGTCCCAGAACTAAACGTCAGGCAGTCGATTTTTGGTGTGAAAAATCGTCGGAACAACCATAATTTCAATTAATACAACAAGGGAAATGCAATCATAAAGACCAAAATAATGCTGTTCGACAAGTTTGTATAGTCACAAGCAAGGCACTTTGAGATTTTTTAACTGCCCGCGTGACTGCCTGACGTTTAGTCCCAGAACTAAACATCAGGCAGCAAATTTTTTTGTGCCAAATCGTCGGAATAACCGTAATTTCAATTAATACAACAAGGGAAGTGCACTAAAGACCGAAACAATACTGTTCGACAAGTTTCAAACACAAGCACGGCACTTTGAGATTTTTCGAGTGTCTGTCGTTTAGTCCCAGAACTAAACGTCAGGCAGTCGATGTTTTTTTTTGAAAAATCGTCGGTTCAATCGTAATTTCAATTAATACAACAAGGGAATGCACTAAAGACCGAAATAATACTATTGACAAGTTTGTATAGTCACAAGCCCCGGTCACAAACACGGCACTTTGAGAATTTTCGACTGCCTGACGTTTAGTCCCAGAACTAAACGTCAGGCAGTCTATACTTGTTTTGTGTGAAAAGTCTTAATAGCACAAGAGAAATGGAATAGCAGTGAGAAAGGGAGGTGGAAATTGAAAACTGGGTACTGAGAATAAGGTGATGACATACTAGAGTTGTTGATGAAGTGAAATTTACTAACCCTCTCTGTATCAGACCATCCCCCTTCAACCATTACMACAACAATTTATCATTGCCCCCAAGCAGCCAGTGAAAGATAGTGCAGGAACTATAATTAAACCATTGTTTCTTCATTTTGAATGAAGTGATAATTATTAGGATATTTGATAGGCAGTTAATAATAATACTGATTGGTTCACAGTATAAATAGATAAAGAAAGTGTTTTATTTTGTTCAATAACCACAACAACACTTGAGACAAACAAAGTATATCAAATGTATAAAGTAAGCAATACTTAGAATAGATGAACCAAATGTCCTAATCAACTTCCTATCAAATATCCTAATCCTTATCCCTTGAAAATGAAGAAAGAATGGTTCAATTATAGGCCCTGCACCACTGATTCACTGGATGCTAATTGTGGACAATGAAATTTTTTTATGGTGGTTGAAGGGGGACGGGGAAGGTCACGATATTTTGCCTGTCTAATATCAGTAGAAAATTTCACTTCCCCACTTCGATTGATCACCCTATTCCCAGTACCCACTTTTCTATTTCCACCTCCCCTCCCCCTGCTAACTTTTGACTAGACCCTTATTTCGGTCTTTATTCCAGTTCTCTTGTGCTATTAATTGAAATTATAGTTGTTCTGACGACTTTTCACAAAAAAGTATAGACTGCCTGAAGTTTAGTTCTGGGACTAAACGTCAGGCACACGAAAAATCTCAAAATGCCGTGCTTCCTGCGTTTGAAACTTGTCGAACAGTTTTGTTTCAGTTTTGTATTAATTGAAATTACGGTTGTTCCGACGATTTTTTAAGAAAAAATTAGACTGCCTGACGTTTAGTCCTGGGACTAAACGTCAGGCTGCCTGACGTTTAGACGCCGTTTAAAATTACAAATGTTAGCCCGTTTAGGCTGCTCGAAAATGTTTGAAAATGTTTGAGTTTTTAAATTTGGTCTTCATATTCTGAAAGTGCATGATTTAATGCATCCTTGCTACATCCTGTCTTAAACAGGCTCTACAATTTAGATAAAAGAGACCGATATAATTTTTTTTTGGT